CGGCCTGACGCTGATTTATAAGCCACCGAGCCCTTTTAATGCTTGCAACTTGGCCTGGTTGGTTTTTCATTAGACAATCTGGGTGACAATAGGTGGAGGGAGAACAGAGTTAGATACATTTCATACATTTGCACAAAAAAATACCAACACAGATGTTAGCAGCATCCACAGGACTGTAAGGGTATTGATATTTGGTTTGCACTCCCGAGGAAACCCCCTTGCTCCGTGCCTCGAGGAATTAGCTGGAGTACAGTATGGAAACTAAATTTGTGCTGGCTCAGAGTTCAGTTGAATTTTCTTTTTTTAAACAGGAAATACCAACTGGTCAGCAGACACAGGAAAAGCCCTAATTGAGCTAACGGTCACGCAGACCCTTGAGGCCAAATGTGCATGACTGAAACATGATAGAAACATGACTGGGAGAGTGCGGTTGATGAGGCAGCTGACTTCACAGGATGTGCCTGTAAAACAAGGGCGGGCATTGTCTCTCCCACTTGTGAGAGCCTGAGAGGGGGAGGCTATTTTTACATGAATACCAAGTTGAGGAATGCAATGCCGAACCGTTGGTCGCAGTCATTGCAAACAGCTGCACATTGCACATCCCCCCCCCTTCCTCATCCTCCCTTCCTTTACCCCTCCCACACCGAGGGATCAGAGCGGTCCGACAGGATTGGGCAGAGCTGACATCATCGTTTTTCGCCTTTGCTACGTTGTCAGGAAGTTGAGCGTCTGATGCAACCGGTGCTCGCCGTTAGAAATAACGCTGTTGTTGGAGTGAGCGTTGTTTGTGCCACTCTTCTGAACAACATGAAGCACTACTGTTGGAAGAATCACATGATAGCTCCACAACTTCTTCCAACTTAGTGTTAACATTTTATGAATGCAATAAAAACACCCATTCTACATTTATGAGAAACTTATCTTGAGACATGCAGTGTTTTCATACAACAGCGGCAAGTTGTGTTTTTTTTACCGTGTAAAAGTCTGCACTTGCTCAAAAGGGGGTCAACACCAATGTCATGTTTTTGTGATTGGTACAAAACAATGTAAGTTATCCATAGTTTACTGGTATTATAACAGGTGACATTTTTAAGGAGCTAATGTCCCAGTCTGTGGCCTGTGTAGTGTGTTGTGTTGAGGTTTGGAGGTGAGCACTGACACCTGGTGGTTTAACCCTGTAACTCCTCACTGTCTCCTCCAGGATGAACAGATTGAAAGTGGAAAGCAGGAGTTCACAACTGCAGAGATTCAGCAGAAGGTGAAGGAATACAACACTCAAATAAACAGCAATCTGTTCATGAACATGGTGAGTAGTGATGCTTCTCAACAAATCCATTCAATTGAATGTAAAGGTGTTTTATTTCTTCACTGTAACATTTTTATTTTCTCAACAGAACAAGGATGGTTCCTACACTGGCTTCATAAAGGTGCAGTTCAAGCTGGCGCGGCCTGTGTCAGTTCCACCTCCAAAGAAAGGAGGTCACGATGCTGGAGGAAGGAAGGCTAGCGGAGTGAAGCGCCGCACCTCCTTCTACCTGCCGAAGGACGCATCCAAGCACCTGCACATAAGTTCACGCACTCCTGCTCGTGAGGTCATCGAGGCCTTGTTGAAAAAGTTCACAGTGGTGGACAATCCTGGCAAGTTCGCTCTGTTTGAGCGCAGCGAGCGGCATGACCAAGGTATTACTCATTTTCCAACAGTGTTAGTCACTTTTTTTTTTAAATGGAAATTTGTACGCAGTACACTAATATGAGTCTTTTTCCACCTCCTTCAGTTTATATCCGCAAGCTGTCTGACGATGAGCGTCCCCTCCGTCTGCGTCTGCGTTCGGGGCCCAATGAGAAAGTCCTCAGTTTTGTTCTTAAAGAGAATGAAACTGGAGAAGTCAATGTGAGTGCAACATGAACATGAGAATAAAGGATCCCAAACCAAGTGTTGGATTGTGTTTATGTACTGTACATACATTAATGCTGTTTTTCCTCTCCTTACAGTGGCATGCCTTCTCCATGCCCGAGTTAAAGAACTTCCTGCGTATTCTGCAGCGTGAAGAGGAAGAACACGTCAAGCAGATAGTGCAGCGGTACGCTCTGGCCCGCACCAAGATGCAGGACGCTCTGGCTGGCTCGACCCCCGGCTGAGACGACTCTGCGCTGGGGGTTAAACGTGCACCTTTTGGCTGGACCAATCACCTGAAGATGACCAGTCATCGCTGCATCCAAAGATCCCAGAGAGCACAACTCAAAAACACCTCTTCGGTGAACGAGAGAGTGAGACAGGGCGCAAGACTATGAGAGAGAGAGAGCGAGAGAGAGAGCGCTAGCGCGAATGTGCGTGTGAAATGATGCGAGAGACGTGCCTTACACCTGGAGAGTCTGATGTGCCTGAGAGAATGAGTTGAGAGAGCTGACGACTGGCAGATGAGACCGCGGTTGTACCCAGTAATGTGTTTTTGTTATTGGGTACCATCTGATTATCCTGTGTACCTCAGCTGTGTCACTTTAACTTGAAGGAAAATGTCAGCGATGGTTCTGACATTTTTTAGGTTTAAAGAAAATCCACTAGTCCATGTGTTAATCCCTTTTAATTTTCCAGAATAAAAAATACGTAACGTGTCCCATCATGATATCACTGCTAGGTTTAGATAACCTCAATCTGGTCCTTTAACAACTACCATGAAAACCATACTTGTTAATCTCATATTGACATATTTTCATTCATCCTGTTAGAAAGTTAAACACACATGTTGTAGAAAGGTATCTGGGTTTTCATTTGACCGAGGCTCAAAGGTCTGCCACGTCCTCTCGACACCCCTGATGGGTGCAACTCCTTTTTTATTTTATTTTGAATCGTCAGTTTGTGAGCTTGACTGATGTATGGACATTTGTATGCAATTATGAATGTCAGAGAGAGAGCTGAAGTCACTGTGGTTGACTGGAATCATGAATGAATATTGGTATACATGTGTTTCACTGGAAGCTGTCTGTCATTCCTTCATATCTTTGTTTTTTTCTGTCCTTTTTTTCAAAAGAAAATGTTTGTCTTCTGATTCTCACTTCATTGTATCCCTCTATGCACAAACTTTACATGTAGCAACCTTCAAAATGTTGTGACAACTGTGCACTGCAACCAGTAAAGAATTTTACATTTCTATCCAGTTTTTGTATTTTATTGTTTTTACCTTAAAACATCACAAGCGTCTATTTAACACGGTGTTACATTTTCATTTAAGCCTGACATTTGTAAGATTACCAACAGAGAGATGATGTCGAGGAGTTTTGTTAAATTGATGTTTTTTTATTTTAGCTTTAACTCTCGAGGTGCCTCGTGCCTGTTCGATCAGCTGATCACCTTCTCGCGAGGACCAAAACAGCTAACGCTAGCTCACCTAGCAGCTGGTGAAAGTTATGACAGGACGATAAGGTAGGAATCGGACCGGGACCACGTTAGAAACCCCCGGTTTCTGCGGGCTGGGTCGGAGAAAGTGTCTGTGTCTGTGTTTGGAGTCGATCAGCTGTTGTAGCCAAGCTGCGTCAGAAGCTAACAGGCTAACTCACCTTGTTAAACAGGCAGGTGTCGTTAGCAGGCTATTATTAGCCGCATTAGCCGGATACCGAGGGGTGTTTTTATGAATCAGACCGTGTGCATTAACTGTTGAACGATGGCTGTGTTTGTGCGTTAATAAAGCAATGTGAATAGTGTGATTATTTAGATTAATTGCGGGTTTTTTGTTTTGTTTTGTTCGGTAGTTGTATGGCCCAGTTTGTTAGCTCCCCGTACAGCTAGCATAACGTACCGCTACAATATAAATAATGTCAGGTTGAGAGAGGTTGATGTTTGTGTTAGTTAAGGTTGAGAGAGTTGATGTTTGATGTTAGTTAAGGTTGGAGAGAGTTGATTGTTTGTGTTAGTTAGTGAGAGAGGTTGATGTTTGTGTTAGTTAAGTGAGAGAGGTTGATTTTGTGTTTATTTAGTGAAGAGAGTTGATTTTTTAGTTAAGGTTGAGAGAGGTTGATGTTGTTGTTAGTTAAGTTTGAGAGAGGTTGATGTTTGTGTTAGTTAATGTTGAGAGAGGTTGATTTTGTTAGTTAAGGTGAGAGAGGTTTGATGTGTGTTAGTTAAGTTGAGAGAGGTTGAATGTTTGTGTGTTAGTTAAGTTGGAGAGGTTTGATGTTTTGTTGTTTAGGTTGAGGAGGTTGATGTTATGGTTTAGTAAGTTGAGAGAGGTGATTTTGTGTGTTTAGTTATTTGAGAGGAGTTGATGTTTGTGTTATTAAGGTTGAGAGAGGTTGATGTTTGTGTTATTAAGTTGAGAGAGTGATGTTCTGGTTAGTTAAGGTTGGAGAGAGGTTATGTTGTGTTAGTTAAGTTGAGAGAGGTTGATGTTTGTGTTAGTTTAAGGTGAGGAGAGGTTTGAGTTTGTGTTATTCAAGGTTGAGGAGAGGTTGATGTTTTGGTTAAGTTAAGGGTTGAGAGAGTTGATGTTTGTGTTAGTTTAGGGTTGAGAGAGGTGATGTTTGCGTTAGTTATAAGGTTGAGAGAGGTTGATGTTTGTGTTATAAGGTTGAGAGAGTTGATGTTTGTGTTAGTTAAGGTTGAGAGGAGGGTTGATTTTGTGTTAGTTAAGGTTGAGAGAGGTTGATGTTTGTGTTTAGTTAAGGTTGAGAGAGGTTGATGTTTGTGTAGTTTAGTTGAGAGAGGTGATGTTTGTGTTAGTTTAGGTTGAGAGAAGGTGATGTTGTGTTAGTTAAAGGTGGGGTTGATGTTGTGTAGTTAAGGTTGAGAGAGGGTGATGTTGTGTTTGTAAGGTTGGAGAGAGGTTGATGTTTGTGTTAGTTTAGGTTGAGAGCAGGTTGATGTTTGTTAGTTTATGTTGAGAGAGGTTGATGTTGTGTTAGTTTAGGTTGAGAGAGTTGATGTTTGGTTATTAAGGTTGAGAGATTTAGTTTGTGTTAGTTAGGTTGAGAGAGGTTTGATGTTTGTGTTAGTTCAGTTGATGAGAGGTTGATGTTTGGTTAGTTTAGTTGAGAGAGGTTGATGTTTGTGTGTTAGTTAAGGTTGAGATGCTCAGTGACAGTTCTGGTGTCAGCAGCTTTGATACAGTCACGTCTCTGAGTTGGACAAAATCGTTTTATAGGGTAAAAATTTGCATTAATCACATTGACAGCGTTATTTGTGCATTAAATCTACTGTATTATATAGTTATTCATCAAAAAAACAGCATTAAATCCAACTAATCAACAGTCTTTACAGTAGGCAGCAGAGGTAAACAAGCAGTGACAACTAAACACCAGTCTGACTGTGTGTGTGTTCTCTCTTTGTGCACTTTTTAATTTTCAGATCCTGGCTTTGGTAAGGAATTGAGAGCATCTGGCCACCAACCAGACTGAAAGCTTTAACTGGAGACTATGTCTTATCTCTGAGGATGGGAGGAAGTGGATCCAAAGCCAAAGGTGTCTGGCCTTTCTCAGGCAGTGGAGCCGGAGGAGATTCAGCCAGTGATGGGAACGAGCAGTCTTTGGCCCGTATGAAAGGTTCAAGAAATGCAACACCGTTTGTTTTTACCAGGAGGAGGTAAATAATACATCACTGGAAAATGGTAATGATTCGGTTAACCCAAATCACCACATATTTTCTTTTAAGGTATTTTACGTGGAGGTTGTTTTGGTCTTCTAGTCTGATGAGGTTTTGAGATCTCCATTTCTGAAATACAAAGGAGATTAGCAGCTATATAATAGAGGCATTTTATGCTGAAAGTAGAGCTGTGACACGAGATGGGGAATGACATTCAGCAAAGCTCCCAGGCCGGATGGAAGTGGGGAGGCTGCGGTTTATGGTCAGCGCCCTAACCCATAGGTCCCCAGGGCGCCTCAAACTAACTACAGTTCTCTGTGATTCTGGAGACAATTTCCTGGTTACTCGAGATAATCCACACACTTTACTGTCAGCAGCTGTTATTAGAACTACTTTCCTACTGAAGAAATAGTCCCAATAAAAGCGGCCCACAGTGGCCACAGGTGTATGGATCCTACTGGGTTGCAGAGGCAGATCAATTAAATTCAGTAAAGTTAAAAAAAGAGTAGATAGCAGAGTAGACATGCAGCATAATAACACATAAAAACATGAAATAATACAATAAATAGTAAGGGGTGGGACTCTCAAAACCTCTGTAATTGTAAGACCATATGTTGTTAAATTAACCCGGATCTTTAAAACTGATGTTTACCTGCTGTGTTGACAGTTCTTTGTACTACGACGAGGACGGGGACCTTGCCCATGAATTCTATGAAGAGACAGTGGTGACAAAAAATGGCAGAAAAAAGTCCAAGTTGAAGAGGATTCAGAAAAATCTGATTCCACAGGTGAGCTGGGGCCACATTTTGGGCAGTGCTGATCTGTTTGAAGAATGTTTGGAATGATTCGTCGATTTGAATATTGATCGTTTTATTTTTCAGGGAATTGTGAAGCTCGACCACCCCTGTATTCATGTGGATTTCCCCATCGTCCTCTGTGAGGTGTGAAAAGTTGCACAGGACTGATCTACTATGAATTGCAGCCACAGGTACTCGTCTTGGAGTGAAGTCTTGTTCCAGTCTCCAGGTGTTACGGTCAAGACCGGAACTGTGGTCTGGAGAGGAAAAGGAAAATTCAAACTTTCATATTAAACTGATATATTGAATGAAATGTTATACATTTGAATTCAACTATAGTCAGAGGGTGCCCCTATTCACAAAAAAAAAATCCATATTTTGTTATTCACAAAAGTAGTGATGGTACAGGTTGTGTTTCCACTACCCAGCTGACATGTAAGCAGTCTTAGAGAATACATCAAATGAAGTCGTATTTCTCTTGTGAGTTTTTTGCAGGGAAAAACATCCTCGATGTGAAAAGGCTTTAATGGTTCACGCCTTCTGTGAGACGTAGAGTGAAACTGTACGTGTCTTTGTATATGTACATGTGTGCACTTAGGTTTGTTGGGAGTGAATGTGTGTGAGAGGGGCTGAAGATGAAGTTACAGTGTAGAATAATGAAGGATTGTGACATTTATTGTATATATGGTCATGTTCTGTGTTGTCACGTCTGAGTCTGTCTCAGTTACCGAAGCTCAGACCTGCACTAGTGAACATAATGTACTGTAAATAATTTCAGATTTCTTAGTTGGAAATACTTGAATAAATGGTTTACTGAGCTGAATATCCCGAGTCAAGAAATGTTCTCTTATGTTGGTTATGGCCTCCTGTTATCATTGAGTCATGTCCAAACAGTATCTGTGCAACATCTGTCCTCTACACATCTTACTTGGGATGTAAACTGATAAAAAAAAGTTCATGTTTAAAGGAATATTTTAACATCTTGGAAAATAAGTGTGTTTGCTTTCTTGTTTAGAGTAAGATTAAAGATAGGCCGCACTGTCATATGTTTTTTCTGGTTTTAAACAAAAAATATATAATGCACTAATTACCTTTTAGTTACTTTTGAACAGAGCCAAGATACAGATAGGTGAAAGGATAGAAAAATCAAACATAAACCGTCTTAGTGAGGTGGTGTATCACAGGAACAGCTTCAGGTATGAACACCATTCTTTCAAAAAGATACATCCATCATGTGTGTTTTAATGGACTGGGGATGCCGGACTGTTCCTTTAAGCAGTTTCATTCCAAAATCTCCCACGGGTCTTTAATTGGGTTGAGATCTGGTGACTGCGGAGGCCACAGCATGTGACTCACATCATTTTCATGCTTAAAACCATTCAGTGACCTCTGGTGCCCTGCGGATGGCTGCGTTGTCATCCTGGAATAGACCATTCCCATCAGGATAGAAATGTTTCATCACAGGATAAAGGTGAACAACATTGTATTGGTCTGCAGTGACCCTTCCCTCTAAGGGGATCCCAGCAAAATGCCTCCCACAGCCTCTCGCTGCAGGGGTCAAGCAAGTTCTCCCGTTGTATAACTGACACATGCACTGTACACACATGTGGTGAAGGATGACTCATCTGAGCGTGTCACTTTTTTCCACATCTCGGTGCTTATTATGGTTTTTGCACCACTGAACTCTCAAATGTGCTTCAATCTTTGTAATGAGAGGTTTATACACTGCAACCGTACAGTAAAATCTAAATCAACTGGGCCTGATCGGCCTTTTTAAACATGCTACAGAGCGTTATTGGATGTTCTATAACGTTATGTGTAAATGTGTGTGGAAGCATCTTCATTCGTTATGTTTCTTCACTCATTGAGATTTTTCTTTTAATTTGTTACCCATCTGTAGCTGTTTCTTATCTTGCTAAACTAAGCTAGCTGGCTGCAGGCTCTACCTTCATATTTAATGCACAGACATGAGTGGTTTCATCTAACTCGAAAAAAGAAGAGAGTAAATGTATTTCCTAAAAAGTGTCAGTCTGCTCCTTTAAGTACCAGTCGATGGCTCTCCGGAAATAATTTCAGTTTTAGAAAGGAAACTCATTGTGTACACGGTACAATAACTTTAGTTTGCCAAAAGTAAATGGACACGTTGAGACTGCATTCAAACAAAGGTCACTTTTAAAAATGTCAGCATTTCCCGTACTTCCATGACAGCTGGTAGTACACCTTATTTTTAGCTTTTTCCTCATCGACTTCTTGAATTTCGGCCCGCCTTGCTGAGCTGTATGGCTGCTGTGTGCAATTAAAGCCAGATTTTGCTACTTATTCTGCATTATACAAAGATGGAGATAATCTATAGACATTATTTTAAAATACGACTACTTTACACTCCAATAACATGTAAGTTACACCACCTGTAGATGGCAGCAGAAATCTATACCTGTACCAACCTTAATGAGTTCATGTGTGATTACATTTGGTGTTTGTTCCATCGTATTTTATCGTATATTTACTCTCTTACCTCTGATGATAATCCAGTGCTTGTCAGACTTTCTAAAAAGCCTAAGATGTAATTAAATGTTGCCTGTAAAACACTCAAAAAGTCAAATTGTGACCAGTGGAGGCCGGTGCTGCCAGCTGGCACAATATCAAACTTTAATGGCAATGTAAACATATTTCAGTGTGCATACTTGACAAATCCCGACAGTACATGGGTAGGGCTTCCTCTGCAGGCATTCTCTGGTGTCTGTAATTGTGTGGAATGTGGTTGGGAGTGTTTTTGGGCCAGAGGTCAGTCACTTTGATGTGTTTCCTCTCCACTGGTCTTTGATGTTTTGCTAAATTCTGGGACTGTATTATGAGGATAAACCCTTTCTTGTGAAGCCATAAAAATGTATGAATTTCATGAATATGACACTGTTTAGCACTGTTTTGATCTCTACAATGTGTTTCGTGATGTATACAATGTGTTTAAAAAGGGAAACGTTATCCATATGGCTGCGGTTGAGAGAGATAGTCATTATAAATTATCAGCAGCCTTGAAAAAGACCTAAAACATGTTTTGAATTATAAACAGTAAAAAGAGATATATTGTTTTCTCGGGAACCGCTTAACATGCTGTAGCTGTTTAAAGTAAAACAGCAGTGATTAATGTAGCCTGTTTCTTGAATTCACAATTAGATTATGTTACTCTTTACTGAGGTACAGTGTAATCATACACGGTACATGTGACTGACAGAGTAACTGAAGGAAAGATTAATGCTCTTTAAATTTATGGTAGCATCCTTTAAAGTGGGTTTGGCTGCAAGCTGCAGCAGTGAAACGTGTATACAAGTACGCAATTTAGGGCCTTAAAGCACATTTCGGTACATCCCTGCAATATTTTACTTTATTCATATACATAAAGTTGGTGTTTTGGTCGGTAGATTGGTGTCGTAAACTTATCAAGGGCAAATCAAATTGTTCCAATGAAATTCTTTCCATCCCGGTTTACCAATTCACACACCATTACCCAAATGTATTATTATTCATTAAGTGTTTGGGACGTAAAGTGAAGGTGGCAGGGTGTGTTTTTAGTTCCCCTGCTATTGTTTTCGCTTCCTGACGATCCCTGACTTCTGCTGATGTAATGTTCAGGAGGCAGAGGTCGAAGGGAAGCTGAGACTAGATGGAAACCATTTTTGTTCTTTTCCCTCCCTCTTCATTCACACGGGTTGTTCTTGCTCTACATTTTCCTTAAACACACACGCACAGACAAAGAGAGAGAGAGAGAAACTGATGACATGGTGAGGTGAGTCAGCAAAGCTCGGAAAACAAACGGCGGAACAGACTCTGACACAGGAAAACATCTCACTTCCAGGCCCCGCCATCTCACCCCAGTCATGTGCTCTGGCATCCTTCAGCTCATGTGTATCTGCAAAAGGAAACGTCAAACTTTCAGAGGAACACATAACCTCCAAAAAGTTTTTCATTCATGATGACAGCTTGCTCACACTGAGATGTCCTCCTTCCCATTTTACACAGTCTTTTAGAGTATTAATACAGGTTGTTAATTTTGGTTAATTACGTGTCAGTGCGTGGCCTCTAAATTCTCTCCCGTTATCCCTCATGCCTGACCCCCGGCTCTGCACCGTCCTATCTGCTGTACTTGGCAACATGACGGTATGCGGTACTTGGTTACTTCACTGAGCCATTGCCAGTGGCTGTCATCGCATGCCTCAGGCAGCAGTGACATCTGCATGCCAGATGCCTTGTGCCCACTGTCTGAAGTGTGCTCAGAGAGCTTTAGTGGAAAAAACATTAAAATCCTTCACTCAAGTAGCAACATGGAAATTGAACTGCATGTAAAGTAACAAAATCAGTATTCGCTCACTTGTGAATGATAGAAAAGACTCACACTGTGAAGGTGTAAGGAGTATTGTAATGTCGTAGTAGACAATGGTGTATTGTGAGTACATTTATTGCCATTTTGTGGTACTTTATACTTGAACTTTACCATTTTCAAAGGCACATTTTCCTTTTTACTTTTTACTTCACTACATTTATCTGAGAACTATAATTAATTAGCAGATTTAGATTTTCCAAATAAAACCTACGATCACCTTATGAAATATAATGCAATGCAACTTAACAGTATAGACAGTTTATGGTTATAGTTTAATTTCCCTCGTTAAAAGGCTGTTTACATTTTAAAGCATCAGCCATTTCTGCTGCTTAATGAGTCTGATAATACTTCTGTACCTTTACTTGAGTAAAACACTTGATAAGTATTTGTGTTGTGTTGCTATTATTACTACTTCTTTAGGTAAAAGATGTGAATATTTCTTCCACCATTGGTTGTAGTTAGGTTAGGGTTAGTCTACTGAAACAATTTGATACATTATAACAGTGCAACATAATTTATGAGCTTTATGTTTTCTTTGGAAAGTGAACAACAAGTGAATTACAAAGTGAATGCAGTGATTATATGCAGCAAAGGGAAAGTACAGCAATTCCCAGTGAAATGCTGTGCAGTAAAAGTCTCACAAAATAGAAATATTCTGCAGCAGACAGATTTGAATTGTCAATAAGGAGTTTTGGGAACAGATTTAAGGCATTTTTAATTATCTTATTATTATAAACAACAGAGCCCTACTCTGCTAAAGTTGGAACAATATTGTAAAGATATTTGTATTTTAGTTTTTTCCCTGTGCTCGGCTTACTGTTTTGAAGTGGGTGAGATTTGTGCTAATAAAATTTCCACCTATTAATCAGAATTTAACAAAATAAAAGTCTTATGACAGATTGGTTATTATGCACCTGTCAGTCAGATCTGATCAAATCACATCCACACTCTGGGTTAGCTGGAGAGTTAATACATGTATAAAACTAAAGATGGTGTTCTATGTTTACGTTATTAAAGTTACATAGAAACACTTAACATTTAAAGCAAGTTTCCAGGTGTTTCAAGGACCAAAAAAAAAAAGTAAAAATACAGTTTTCACATAATATCTCAACGCCACAGTACTTTATAATGTACATATCTGATTGTAACGCAGCTGAAAGGTCACAGGAACACAGTGGTCATTTGTGGGCATGATCTTATTTTTAGGGATGTGGCACACTGGCCCGCCATGACCTTCTGTGCGTCTTCACACTGCTGCTTTACAGCCTATCTGTTTCACAAACCTTCTCGGACGGACTCATTCGGCGCCGTGTGTCGGCACACTTTAAATAACCACCCACGAAAAAACACGATTAAACCAACTCCTGCGTGGACTCCTCTTACACCTGAAGTCACGTGCAGGTTTAAGGTGAAGGAAGACGTCGCTGTAGCGTATCAGACACGCTGAGTGAGTTGTTAGGATGTCCGGTTGGTTTCGCCGATCCCCCCCTCTTTCTCAGGCTGAATGGAACATCCTGAAAGTAGTTTGGCTCTCGGAGCAGGAGAGTAGAGACTGACAACATCGCAGGGGGTAGCTTCATTTCTCTTCCCTTTACCGACCGCGGGCAGCCCCGAGAGCGGAGGTTAGAGGACACGTACTGGCTACCCAACCCCGTCGTCTTTTTCTTGCTCAAAAGCAATGTTCATTTTGATTTTCTCCAATTTGTTTTGAGGGGAAGCACAAGCGCGTCTTGAAGTAGCTTCTGGGTCTTTTTTTTTGGGAATGCTTCCTCAGTCTGCCAGTAAAGGTAAGTTTGTTCAGCTGCACTGAGACTGATGGGATTGGGACTTTTCTGTTACTTGTTGCTCATTCATTATGTTTTTATTTAATTGAATTGTCAGGTTTTTTTTGTTAACTATAGTTTAATAGAAAAGGGAAGTTAGAGTTTGGTAGAACATTATCTGCACATATAACCAAGGGGAGATGCTTTTTGTAAGTAAGAGACACAAACTAACATTTATCTAGGCTGTGCTTTATAGCTTTCAGCCTGCAACAAAATGTCACTGTATATTCAGGCTCTTAATTTAAAAGCATTTCTAATAACTATTGATTATTATACTGGGAATTGTCACCAGAAAAGTAAACAAATTGAATTAAATTTAACTTGTTCCTTGTGAGTTGTAGAGTGAAGAGTGACAGGGATTTTCTGTCAGTTCACACTCAAAGGCATATAAGAGAAAGTGTAATAAACAAATAAAGACAGAAAAACAACTAGAAATTGTTGTTTATTATCTACACACCTTCTTAGTTTGCAGTTGCAGAATTGATTATCTCTACATTGTGCACAACAAACCTGCACTGACTTAAAGAATTACTATAATTTGTTAATAAACATCCTACTAATTAACTAAATGAAATGACCGTGACTGCCACGTATTTGAAAAGTAAACAAAAAAAACTAAAATTTGAATCCCTTCTGTGGCTTGTAGAGCAGAGAGTGACAGTCCTGTCTGTCAATTCACATCTGAAGACATGTTGTACTGGACTCTGCCTGACTGGAAACTACTGCTGCTGACTGTACTTCTGTGGGACCGCCTCTGTGCTTTGGGGCTGAAACCCACGAGATGGCCACTGTATTCCCAAAAGCCTCTGCTCCTGGCTTGGAATGCCCCGACTGAGGACTGTGTCCCGCGGCACGGTATTCGCTTTCAGCTGGACAATTTCCAGATCGTGGCCTCACCCAATGAGGGCTTTGTCAAACAGAACCTCACCATTTTCTATAAGGACCGCTTGGGCTGTTACCCCTACTTCGAGCCAGACGAGACGCCGGTGAACAAGGGGCTGCCGCAGTTGGCCAGTCTCACAAAGCACCTGGAGAAGATGCCGGAGGGAGTTCAGAAGTATATACGGGAACCGGGTGCCAAGGGTCTGGCAGTTATTGACTGGGAGGAGTGGCGCCCACTCTGGATACGTAACTGGGAAACCAAAGATGTTTACCGCAGACATTCTCGTGAGTTGGTGCGTCAGAAGAACCCAACGTGGCCTCCGGAGCAGGTGGCAAAAGTGGCCCAGCAGGAGTTTGAGATGTCTGCCAGGAAGTTCATGCTCGAGACGCTGAAGTACGCCAAGAACCTGAGGCCCAACCAGCTGTGGGGTTTCTACCTGTTCCCCGACTGCTACAATCACGACTACAGGCGCACTCTGGAGAGCTACACGGGCCGCTGTCCAGATGTGGAGGTGGCCCGCAATGAGCGGCTGAAGTGGTTGTGGACTGAGAGCACGGCCCTCTTCCCCTCCATCTACATGGCCACCGTGCTGCGTTCGTCGGCATCCGGACGGCAGTTTGTCCGGAACCGAGTGAAGGAGGGGATGCGTTTGGCATCATCAGGCGACGGGTTGGCACGTCCTGTCTTTGTGTACACCCGGCCCACCTACGCCAACTCCCTGGAACAGCTGACAGAGGTGACGCTCTAACTTTAGAAAACACTGCCGGTCCTGAATTTGGTTTCTCTCCCTGAAACTTTCTTTTTCCTGCTTCCTGCCTTTTACAATTCTGGTGAAGGTTAAAACAACTAATGTGTTGCTGTGCGGTCTGGGCTATGATAACGTACAGTTCGGAAGCAGAAGAGATGGACTCTCAGTCACTGTGTAGCTCTAACATTCAGCACTATCCCTCTCTTTCTCTCTCTGGTCAGTGCATGCAGCATGGAGCTATAGCTTTTCCTTATCGGCAGCCACAGTCCTTTCCTGTTCTGTAGCAGACAGACACCCTCATTTGTGCGGAGTGGGCAGGATGGGTGTTGGTTGAAAATCTCGCTAACACCCTATAGACCGTTTCCACGTGGGAGAATGAGCAGATAAGAGGTGCTCCTACAGTAGCTCGTGCCCCACTAACACTTTGACCCTCTTATAGTGACACTCAACTGTGTATTTTTCCTGTGTTTGGCCTGTAAGTCTGAGAAGGTTTAAATGTGATACGGTTAAAGTGCTGCATCATCTTTTACAGACCGACCTCGTCTCCACCATCGGGGAGAGTGTGGCTTTGGGAGCAGCGGGAATCATCCTGTGGGGAGATGCCACCTATGCAAGCAGCAAAGTAAGCATCAGCACACTAATTACGAAACAAACACATTAATCACTCATCTTACACATTTGACATTAAAGTTGTGACCTGCTGCTCTTGTCTGTCATGTGTGCATCATTTGATAACTAATAACTGTTCCTCGGGGCTGGAGCTCGCAGTTAGTGGTTTCAGTCACATGGACATTTTAGGATACACAGGAGGTGTTTGTGTGTTTTTTGGAGTCATATTTAGGCTGCTCACATCGTATTTTGGACAATTGAGATAAACTCTGGTTTTGATGTATTTGCATTTGCCAGAATGAACATGGCCTATACTTCAGTCTTTATAAAGCTGAATTATGTTATAAAAATCTCATTAGAATAATAATAACATCCACAGCAAATACAGTTGTTATAAATACTTAAGATGGACAGGCATTCATTGGAGATACATCTCTTCATTCCACTTTCTTAAGGCCAAAATATGCAGCAGTGATTCATTATCAGTCATTTTAAACAGAATGACGGTCGTTTATATGAATATAGTAATTTTCCATTCTGATGAAATTCCGGTGAAAATCCACAATATTTTTCCTGTGATTGGATTAATCAGCTCATCCTACCCTGTTGTGAACGTGGTGCCGTGTAGATGAATTGCTCTTTAGGATCCTTTTTATTCATGAATGTAGTTCTAGTGAAGATGGAATTAACAGTTTCACGTCCCATTTCCTTAAAATTGAATGGGGATAAAGGTTAACCTTTTTTTTTTTTTAAATGCCTCAAGTACATCATAACAATATTTATTATTGATACAGGCTTGATATTACCAGTGGTGGTCTGTACCCATGTACATTTACTCAAGTAAATCTGACAAATTCTTACAGAATAGTTGATTAAAAGTCCAGTCAACTTCTTAAAATATTAAAATGCTGCTTATGCAATTAATCTATCAGAAACAACAATCCAATAATATAATAATATATTGATAACAAAACCTAAAAAACCTTCACATTTGATAATTAAACGTACTACAAGGAGTTTTTAACCGGTTATGAAACGGTCTCAGTTTAATACTGATGCCTCTATAGGACCTACAATCCTTATAAGACCATCAGTGAGAAGGTTGTCTGTTTAATTATTTGTAAGGCCACAGAGTCATATTTGGTCGGATTCCCATTGAAATCAATGAAACAAGGCGGTAGAAACACTCCAGCTGTTGTCCACAGCCGCCAGAATCACAAAATCATCACATAATAATTTATATAGTGGTATTACTTACTTACTACTTTCACCCACTTCTTCCACTACTGAATATTAACAGAAAGTGGTGTGGTTTCCTTTTTTAAAGTACCTCAAGTCACAACCCTGAACCTCACACACACTTTGTTAAAGGCCCACACTGCAGACTTAACTTTCTTTTTTCTTTTTTCTTTTCTTGTCTCTCCAGAACAGCTGCTCTGACCTGGACGTGTATCTGCGGGGTCCGCTGGGTAAATACCTCCTCAACGTCTCCACGGCAGCAGAGCTATGCAGCCAGACCTTGTGTGCTTCTCACGGCCGCTGCCTGCGCAAAGATCCAGACAGCGATGTTTACTTGCATCTGAACCCCTTCACCCACAGCATCACCGGTGGGACCGGCAAGCAGACGGTCGCCGGTGAGCTCGGCGAAGCAGAGAAAATGACTTTTCAAACAGAGTTTCAGTGCCAGTGCTACAGCGGCTATCAGGGAGAGGGCTGCGATCAGAGAGGGGTACGATCTCAAGCCACCAGTCCATCAGTGCAGCAATGTGTGATCTCACTCATGATCTCTCTGCTCCTCTGCTACCACGCAGAAATACTGTAGACACAGCTGCAATTTAGGTCTAAACACACCAAGTTGTGAATTTTGAGGAATGAGTAGTGTCGTTTGATTTCTTTTAATTGCTGTAAATGGATGACACAAAGTGAAATTTTATAAGAAACACTGTGGAAATTGCAAAGATATATTTGTTTAAAACTTTTTAACCTATTTTTAAACATCAGAGGGCTCGCTGGAAATGACCTTGTTTACATTTTGCTCTCAGTTTCCTCTCAGTCACTGTTTCCCAATGTGTCTAGTTCCATGTTTCTCATAGAGAGAAAACCTTTTTGGGGGAGAAATGTGATGAATGAGTTGACGTTTGTCAGGAGCCGTGTGGTGAAAGTGCAATTGATGCACTTAAATCTGGTAATAGCACAATGTATCCGAAGTGCCTGATCTTTTCTCAACATGACCTCTCTGGATCTAGTTACAGTATTACTATTTATTTGAATGTATTGTTAGGTGTTTTATATGATATTTTCTTATTTCTATCTCCAAAACATGACTACTAGTTTTCTTTTAAACCCTACAGTATTATTCAGTATATGCTAAAAAAGTAACAGCTCATTCTGTATTTCAGCAGCTAGATGAGAAGCACAAACTTATCTCTTATGACGGAGGGTCCCACACAAGCATAAAGGCTTGGCAGCGTTGTCATATCTGGGACTCTAATAGATCTTGTGGGTCTACGTTTGTGTTAAATGACATGAGGCATCCTTCAGAATTGGGTTGGCATTGCACCGTGCTTCACTTGTATTGCTGATCTTATTCTCCTCGGATCAGCCTCTATACATTTTGCTGTGTGAAGTCATCAAGTTTTTCCATCACAGTATGTTCCACAGTTTCACTCACGTGCCTTTCTTTATGTTGTTTGCAGATTTGACTTTTGTCTTAGTAAATAAACTTCTTTGTTGAGGTCTGTGTGTAATTTACAGAACACGGTGGGATGGATACCAAAATAAAGGTGAGATTCGGTTATCAAATATAATATATAACATATAATATAATATAATAATACAGGTATGCAGTGGTGTAGTAGTGCCTGGAGGAGCAGGTATAAATACTATTAATTTATACCCCCAAATTTTTTTAAAGCAGCCTGTTCTGGAAGAAGAATAAACCCCCTGTGTTATAAGCAGTGACATGTAAGACTCCTCTTGCATATTTAACTCACCCAAAAATGGTTTTATTTGCAGTATTAGTAGTTTTTAAGGATCATAATGAAATTAACCATAGCCACAAAAGAGGTGCACTGGCCATAGACAGAAGAGACAACTATATAATTATGCATTAGAGTGAAGTCTTCCGTATTTCTTACTCAATGACTCAAAAATGAATTCAGCTTGCTGAACACGACTGAATGATACACATCAAAGATGCTCATCAAATTTAGAAGTTGGTATACTAAATGCAACCTGAGTGCGTATACCTGCGTACTACTCCACTGCAGGTGTGGTTTTGCTGTTTGCAGTCAATAAACGTTAAGCCTCCGGGGGAGAAACATGTCATCATTGGCCACTTCAGGGAAGCGAAGCCAGCTGGTCCTCAGGGAGGGACACAGCTTTGCAGGCTGCTGCCTCATACCCCCCTCCCCATGTAATTGTAGGGTGCTGTTAAGCCAAGAGTTATTTTTACAGCTTTTAAGAGTTGAGCAAGGCATACATTTCAGTTTGGAGGAGGAAGAGTTCATTATGGCTTTTAGAGTAGAACTACATTGCCTTTCCAGGTCAAGTCTCTTCAGTTAACTGTTTACCTTCAAATATTGATTGACTTTTTCTCTGTTGAAGACAGACTCAGTGATGGGATGAGGTTTTAACTTGCCTATGACTTTAAATCTGTCTGCTCCTTAAAAATTATTTGCATGTCTCTTACGATTGGTTGTTAGAGGTTCTGTGCACACTTCTGATTGCCTGTTAGAAAGTATTTGCACACTCACGATTGGTTGTTAGGAAACCAGAAGCACTTCTTTTTTTGTTCCTTCCCCTTTTCATGCATGTGTCATGCAGATCATGAGACCGCTGTTTGCATTTCCCTGCAGTCCAGACCGCAAAGCCCAAACCAAAATCCAGTTGTTAAATAGGTAAGTTCCTGTTTCTGATTGTAAATTAATTTTTACTTCATTTAACACGAGATTACATGATAGTCCGTGACATGATTCCAGTTTAGCTTCACTACACCAACATTTGTGGTTGTAGTGAAAATGAGCTGAATTAATGGACAAAGAAGAAGCTGAAATTCTTGGTGCTGAAAATCTAAACAACCCCCTTTTTTGCTGTCAGTTCTGCTCTTTGAGATTCCTGTTGCCTCAACTTTAAAAGCAGGTTTGTGTGCACATAACAATTTTGCAATATCTTCTCAAGATTTCACAACACAGTTCAATGATATCAGCTCTGTTGTCTGTTTCTTCTTTGCAGGGATGAGTTCCTTTCATCCTGAAGTGCTGCTTTTCTTAAAACTGATCAGCCTTGTTTCAGGGCTGCAGTTCGCGCCATCACCTTTCTCACAGGTGCCTTTCCTCACAGTGTGGAACGCCCCTACCGCCAGCTGCCTCTCTGAATATGGCGTTGACCTCGACCTGGGCATATTCAGCATCGTCCAGAACCAAAACCAAACTTTTATGGGTGACAACATAACCATCTTTTATGCTGAAAAGCTCGGTCTGTATCCCAGGTACTCCAGCCAAAGAGAGGCTATTAATGGCGGGGTGCCACAGAACGCCAGTCTTGATGAACACCTCAGAGTGGCCTCCGACAATATACGCACCTGTATCCCTGACAGGGATTTCCAGGGCCTGGCTGTGGTGGACTGGGAAAGCTGGAGACCTGTATGGGAGAGAAACTGGGACAGTAAGCAGGTGTACTGGGAAGGGTCAAAAGCCCTGGTGAGGTCCAGACATCCAGACTGGAGCCCTGCGCAGGTAGATGCTGCAGCGCGTCTGGAGTTTGAGAAGGCTGGGAGGAAATTCATGGAGGAGACACTGAAACTGGGGCGGGAGGAACGACCGAATGGGCTGTGGGGTTACTATGGTTTCCCTAACTGCTACAACTACTACAGCGACAAAAGCGCAAACTACACAGGGGAGTGTCCAGCTGCAGAGAAGAAGAGAAACAACGAGCTGTTGTGGTTGTGGAACGTCTCCTCTGCTCTTTATCCTGACATTTACCTCAGCCTCAACCTGCGAGACCTCGGCAGAGAGGTGCTCCTCTACAGTCACCACCGCATCCTGGAGGCCATGAGAGCAGGAGCTCAGGTGACTCCATCAACACCCCCCGTGTTCCCGTACGCTCGCATCGTCTACACGTACACGTTAGATTTCCTCTCTCAGGCAAGTAGCAGATGTTTCTAACTCCAGGCCCTTTTGGGGTTATTGTGATTTGGTCTGAATATTCTGCTCACGCCTTGTTTTTTTCCTCCTGCAGGAGCACCTGGTCTACACCATCGGAGAGAGTGCTGCTTTAGGATCTGCAGGGGTAGTGCTTTGGGGTGACCATGCCTTCTCCAAATCTAAGGTACAGTAAGTGATCTGTTACTATGCTCACAGGAGCAACATGATCTGATCTTCACTCTTCGGTTCTGATTAATGGACTGTAAAGGAAACCGGAAGCAGACCCAGAAGCGAGAAAGAGAGAGAGGGCCAAAAGGAAAACAAAGTGTGGAGATGAGCTGTGTGACATGTTTTAATTTTGATGGACTTGAATTGAAGCTCACACTGGTCTGCAGCTCACTGTGTGTGCGTTCTTAAAGTCAGACAATTTAAAAAGAAGTTTGAGGACAACTTGTGCCCTTCAGTGAACTTTGTTGCAGCAATAAGTTTTAGAGTTTTAGTTCCTTCCTCAGAGGTTTTTTATTTTGTTATGAAATCTTCTCAAAGTATGTTGTTACTTTCCTGTTCTTTAGTTCATGTCTTAAATCATTTGACATTATTCTACATCTATTTAAACAAGGTTCAATGTTCAGGGTAGATTTCTTTATTATTATACAACACAGGGTTGTAGAATGAGATTAAGTTGTAGTTCATTTTATGGTGCTCACAAAAAACTAAACATTATTCAAAAAGCATGTACAGAAGATGGATGAATGAATAATAAGTTAAAGAAATAAAACTATTTTACATGGTGGAGTGCGGAGGATGTATTAAGGAGTCTCTCAGTCTGGTGGTACGGCAGCAGGGTGAACCGGCTGTGGCTGTGGTGGGTACTGTCCTTTAGTATCCTTTGGACTTTGATCAGTTTAGTTCCTCTGTAAACACTTCTTTAAGTTTCTTTAAGAAATAGTCATTTCTGAGCTTTCTTAACCAGGGTGGAGGTGTGAGACAACCATGACAGGTTCTCTGCTCCACCGATGACAACCGGGGTGTGTGTGTGTGTTCCTCCTTCCTAACAGGAAGTTAGGAAGGAGGCAACAATCAGCTAATTTTTTTGCTGACCTTGAGCAGTTGGTTGTTTTTTCTGTTTTCTCTGCAAGATTGTTAATTTCCTCCCGATATGAAGTCTCATTGTTGTTTTAAATTTCGGCTGATGATTCGCAAACTTCACAACAGAGTGGTCTCTATGTCAGGGGTGTACAACGTAAAGAGGAGGGTCCTGAGCACAAAGCACTGAAACATATAGTTTCATTTAAAAAGGCTAAATTATTTCCTAAAACATGTTGTGATGTAAGTCACATTGTATCTCGCCTGCTGGGTCATCAGCTGTTGTTTTTACCAAATGAGTAATCACCAATATTACACTTAAACATGAGCACAGTGCAGATATATAAAAGCTGTGATTCTCTTTCCTACTTTTAGGCCACTTGTGATGCTGTTAAATCCTACATCGATGAGATTCTGGGCTTTTATCTGGTGAACGTAACGTCAGCGGCCACCCTTTGCAGCCAGACCTTGTGTTCCTCTCAGGGAAGATGCCAGAGGAAGAACCTGAACTCGAGGGCCTACCTCCACCTCGACCCGGCCACGTGGACGGTGGTGTCCGAGAGGAAACCAGAGGGGGGGAAGAACTACAGAGTGTTGGGACAGTTGAGAACACATGAGGTGACACTCATGAAGTCTGAGTTTCAGTGCAAGTGTTACCAAGGGTGGGGAGGTAAGAGCTGCTCCAAACCGATTCCCAGATAAAATACTTTTCTTGAGGGAGGTAATCCAATGATGGCATGGGTCTAATCAACAGTGATAAAGTGTGTAAAGTGTGTGAAGATGAACCCCTCCAGAGGCAGACCGGGGGCGAGTTCAGCCCAGTTATCTGCTTGAGTGAATGTGGTCTCCTGTGAATGGAAATTTCCAAATCTTTGACCGGTGTGTTTTCTTAATTAATTGCTTTAGTAATTTCTTTTTTGTATTTACATGTGAGATAATGGTGCAGTTTTAAATTAAATACCAATTTAACAATGTGTGCAGACCAATCATCTACATTCCAGTGAGGTGTTTTTAATGAATGAAGAATGTTTTTTAATGACGAATCTTTTTACCATTTGAGTTCCAGAAATCAGCCTTAAAATGTCAATGAGAATAGGCTCAATACCTCCACTCAAGATGTGTCACTTCACTTTACTTGGATGTTTGAGCTCACTGTGCAGAATCATACACAAAAAGGGTGTTTTGACATTCATCGAAGTTTCTCAGTGCTCACCTTAAAGCTGAGTTTAACACGTGTATGTACGAGGTGATTTCGGGACATCAGAACTAGTCGGGAGTCTAATCGCTGAATTAGGATAATCAATTTGAATTAATTTAAGATTCAATTTTAAGTAGTTGATTTATCTTTTTTGTGGAAAAATCATATGAACCACAAATTGTTTTGTAATAAAGTATTTTTCTGTCTTAAAACAAGTATGAATGGTGACTAAAATGTTAATTGTAATAAGATTATGTTTGGATTTTAGAAATTCTGAATGTACATTTACTTACTTTTTTTAAATTCACATTATTGCTTGTTTGCTTATTTACTTGTCTTGCAAAACAAGGACTTGGTCCCATGTCTGCATTTTATGGAGTGGCATTGCTACTTTTAAAGGACCTGAAAACCTTTCCACTACTGTCTGTAAGGGATCTATTGTAATAACGTTTGTTCAGGACTTCAGTAAAATATTTGTGTGTAGGTTTATGGCCACCAGGTGGTGCTGTGGGACAGCTAACTAGAGAAAAGGCATCAAGGTCAGAGCTTTGAGTGTCTGTAATCACAAGAGGAGTCAGATAGTCTACAGACTGTAGAGGAGAAAAAACATATTTGACTGTTGATGTCAGATTCTGATAACTATATACCCCAACTCAACTCTACGGCAGCTGAAGTGTTCATGATGAATTAAACCCAGTATAGCACAGAACCAAGAGAGCATAAGGTGACCTTGATTGATTTACGAGTGGCGTGTACAATGTTGTCTTATCTGATACCCACTGCTGCTCCAAACTGGTGTCGTTGATAGTAATTTCCCTCCTCTGTCCCTCCGAGGATCTGCAGACTGGAAGAACAGACTCCCACAAGGCCCTGCTGTTTCCTACTTCCGGCTTTATCATTACTGGCTGGATTGTGAGGAAATGAAGAGGAGATAGGCGCTTTTTCTTTTAAAAAAAAAAAAAAGGCTGTGGAGAGATATCTGCTGCCTGTGTGCTTTTTTAAAAATATTTTGGTCCGTGGAGTTGATTGTGCAGCTTCTTGAACCAGACAAACTGCTCAATTGGCTTTCAAAGACCGAGGACAAAATTGAATGTCTATCCTAAAACACTATTTACCAGTAGTTACTTGATAATGGCAGGAAAAACAAGGACAAGACTCTCATACTGACTGACATTCAATGCTGCTTGTCAGTCTGTTCATTGTTATTATTTTCTTCGCCTTGGCAGCCTAAACTCCTCTCCCTCTTTCCATATACAGAGAAGGAATTACCATATAATAATGCTGTGTTGTTTTTAATAGGCTTGGGTTTATTAATTTTTTGTTTTGTTTGCAATATAAAAAAATCATATTCAAAATGCAATGCTGAACTTTTCCGCCTGTGTTTGCAAAATTTACACCACAAACACTCAACTGCACTTGACATTTCACCACAGCAGGAGACCTCAGATGTCTTTTTTATATATAACGTGATGAACTTTATACTTTGCGAGGAGCCTTTTTTTAAAGAATCATATCACAAACTTTCAACGTCATGACTGTACATGAACAGAAGCCATTCTGATCTGTTTATCTGGTTTGAGTGGTCCTCTCTCTTTTTCTCCTCTGTCAGGTCTGGCAGGCCCTCTATTTCTCTATCCTCTCATCTGTGCATTTCTTCATTTTGGCGTCTCGCTCTGTCACCCCTCCATGGTCACGTCTCCCCTTTCCCTGCTGCTCGGTCTGGAGATCGTCTCGCTTGCTCTTGGTTTAATAACTGTTTTGTCACGCTCTGTGTCTTTGTCCTTCAGAGGAGTCGACTCTCTGATCAGGTTTCTTAAAGATCTGATGCGCACTTGTTTGCATGATTTATGTGCGTATATGTCACCAAAGCCACGGCGGCGTGCAGTGATCAGGCTATTAAATACAGGATACTCCCCCTTGAAAGTGTGACTTCAAGAAATAGTTTGACATTTTGGGAAATACCCTTATGTTTTCTCCCACATCATTAAGGGTTAGGGTTAGTTTGGAATCTGCTGGGTTTTGTACAGATTAAACAAACAATATGTAACCTGTTCATTTGTGTGCCAAGTTAGTGGTTCCTCCCTGTTTCCAGTCTTTGTCCCTAAATGTTGAACTATTCCTTTAAAGTTCCCTCCACTCAAAAATATGTTTTCTTCTTGTTCCAACTGTTGAATGTTTGATCTTCACTGTGCAGAATGATGTATGTGCAGAGTTTGACACCAGAAGGATGTTTTCACATTCATTCATCTGCTGAAAGTGGAAATTTTCTCTGAGCTCATTGAACTTCTTATTTTAAGGGGCAGAACCTACGAGCATGATTTGTGACATCACAAAGTTTGTAAGTCAATCCTGGTCCAACTTATGCAAGTGTGATATAGAAACATGAAGAGACTGAGAATTTATATTACTGTGAAGTAGGAGACATCTTGTGTCCAGCAGGAAAACATTATAAATAAACAACATTTGCATATTCATAGATTCATAGATATAATTTTTAATGAGCTCGAAGCAGTAGATGACTTATTAAGGATTTTAATGTGGAAATTATACTTTTTCTTTTGCAGAAAAAAAGGACAGAAAAACAGGATGTCAGCTTAGTAAAAAAAAAAACACCATTTCATTTATATGTATTTCTCAAATGCTGAACAGCACCTTTTGAATGAGCAAGAATTATATGCCACTATTTCACACTAAAAGCAACTGATTGTGGGCGAGTGGGCTGTAAAAACTGATGGAAAGGGGCCCTTGAATCATCTTTTTATCACATCTCCATGTAAGTAAATGAAATCAGAGCAGGGAGTCGGAGACATGAAATGAAAAGGCAGAAAGGCAGAGTGTGAGAGAGGTCACAGCGTCCTATTTCTTATGAGATGGAGCTCAGATATCTCTGCACTTAGAGGCTGTTTGTCGACTGGCAGAATCACCGCCAGTGGCAGCAAAATCACATCCCGCAGTAGTGCAGTCGCATGGCTGGATGCAGTGTAGCTGACGGTGATCGGTGTATTTGTACATAAATCAATGTAAAGAATAAAGATTGTAGCAATGTGCAGAAACAATCTGATCATAATGTGTCTTTTATGTCTTTGTGTGAAGCGTAATATGTGTGTGTTATTGCTGTTGAGGATTTGCTTTCTCTGCTGTATGCCTCCTGATGAGAGGTGACCTGACAGACCCATGTCCCATGTGACTTACTCTGAGACGGGCAACACCCCCCCACCAACCCCTCCTCTGCAAGACCCCATCAGAGCTCAGAGAATACCATTTAAGAGCAAAAGGAAACTCACATTCACACACTTACACTATACAAAGGTGGCTCCTGCCAAATCACACAATAACTGTGTGTGTGTGTGTGTGTGTGTGTGTGTGCCCGGGAGCCATTCAGGTGGAAAATTACACTGCCCAATCAATCGCTAATAGAAAGTCTTTCCTCTGGTAGTGGCCAATCAAAAGCTCACATTGTTGCTCCCAGTGCTTGTCGTTGTCATGTTGATCCTGATAAAATGTAATTATTCTCTGTTTTCATGGACACATATTGATGACATTGGGCAGTGAGGGATGATGATAATAAATAAATGCAAGCTAATAAGAAAATAACTAAGGAAATGGAAAGAGAATAAGTGTTTTCTTTTTTCAACCCCCTGACGCCCTTTCAGTTTGTAATTAATTCAAATATGATTTTTTTCTGCAAGCATATAATCCATTTCAACATTTTTCTCATTCATTTTATAGGATTTGATCTTGGCTCATTTGAATAAACATTTTGCTCCATATTAGTCTGGGTAATGAAGTGGATCTCAGAAGAAAAAATGCTTTTGTTATGAGAGTGGAGACTAAGAGCTGTGGCACTAAGGAGTGTCACACTGGTCACCTCAGCAGGGAAATTGCTGGTTGGAAACCAGATTCAATCTAATACATAATACCCATAATGATTTGTAATTTTTTGACAAAAGTGTGAATGTCAAGAGTGATGAGCAGGGTCTTTTTCTTCTCTTTTTGGAGATAGGAAATCGGGTCTTATATACAAAGCACCATTGATCACAGTCTGCGTGTTGGATCATAGAATAGAAGTCTTGTCAAACAATCTTAGAGTTTGTCTTGTGCTTGTTGAGGTCAGTAACACTATTGAGCATTTATAACTCACTATAATGTCGCTGTAAGAAGATATGTGCATGTGTTTGTTAACACCTATAACTCCTTTTGTGGGCACCCATAAGTGGAGGCTGCTATAGAAACAGATGAGCGACAAAGTGGCGAAACACAGTTGTAATAATATAAAACATGTCTTTGTAGGAGAAGTTATAACTGTTGACAAATGCTGTACATTAATAAACACTTTAAAATGTAAAATATAACAACTATAACAACTATGTTATAGTGTGATATAAACAATGTATTTGAGATGAGTTGGAAGACCCCATAACCTCATGGACAGCATGTTCATGAATGGGATTACTGAGTAAAGTTCAGGTGTCCATATACTTGTGTGTGACATTATTTATATTATTGGTCCTCAAAAGTCATATCAAGTCAATATCAAAGTTATTGTTTAATTAATTTAGCACAAACACACACACAAACACA